CGTACTGCCCATAAAATGTTTTTTGATGTTGTTCGTGGTGTGTGCGTGTGTGTGTTGTTTTTGTCGGTGGTACGTGCTTTTTGGTCCCAGAATTTCAGACAGTTATGGGCGGTATGATGCTTTTTTTTGTATTTTTCAGCCGCGCCTTATTTGCATGACTTCAATTGCACAAAACACCCAGCCTCACACAGGCACACATATTCCTATTTTTGAACAGTGCTTTTCAAACTGTCGACAGGATGCTAACAATTTCTAAAGCCTATGATTTTTAACTTCTCAACTATGCGGATATTTCCGATTATTTTTACCCAAAACATACATATTCATAGGGTTTTTATCTTATCGGTTTTATAGAATTATTCGTTTTTTTTTTTGGATGGTTGGTCACGCACTTGGCCCGGACGACCAGAACACAAAAAAAATTGAACAAAAAATAAATGAAGAAAACATGAAACCAAAAAATTGCGGCCGATCGCAGAACGCGTAGAAAAACAACTAAAAACCCCAACAGAAAAATCATAACAAACCAGCGCCAGACCCACAAAAGCAGAGACGTCGACAGAAGAGGGAGAAAGAGTGCCCCAAGTGCGACAGAGAGGGGTATATGGAGAGAAAAAAAAAAAGACGGAAGGCAGTAGAGAAGAGCTGAGGTGAGCAGGTGAGCTACTCGCTCAGGTGAGAATTCAGTGAGTGTGTTTGTAAAAGCCGGCCTGAAACGCATTGGTCTTCTTTTTTTTTGCACAATTGTGGTCGAAAAATCAGGGCCAAGAACTTTTGATGACAAAATGGTTTTCGGAAAAGTTACGCAAGAATGATTTTGTAATTTTTGTAAGGGCTAGAACTATTTGGGAATTATAAAGAGGGAGAAAAGGGAAATTAAATCAAGAAACTAAGAGGTTGTCTTATAAGTTCTTCTATATTTATTAAATTTTTTTGACAAAAAAAAAATGGTTTTTAACCTTTTAAGTGTAATACTAAGAGACTCCGTAGCATAAATGCAATTTTCAGCTAATTTGCAAACTTTACATGCCTCAGACAGAGACCTCGTGCTCGAAAGGGGTTAAAAAATAAAATAAACAAACTCAAAAAAAAAAACAGGAAAAAACACTACCTCTAGCAACCTGCAGTAGCAACCCCTTTTTTTCATAAGAAAACATAAACAAACAAACAAAATTTAAACAATTTTACGTTGCGAAATGTATTTATACAAGATAACGATGACGATAACGATAACGATAGCGATAATGAACGATGTCAAACACGATAAATTCAATAAATATGAGTATTAAGAGTCATTATGGCCATGATAAGGTCCATGAAGAAGTGAAACGCTAATGAGATTTAATTACAAAGCCGGGAGATTGATAAATATTTGATGATAAAGCTCATAAAATTATCAGAAAAGTAAAAAAAAGAACAGATTCTAGAGGTTGATCTTTGCTTTTTGAAATCTATTTATTTTCTCCCTTTAAACCCTTTTTAAAAATCATTAATAAAATTTATTTAGAAACCTCTCTTTAAACACTTTCTAAGCATCCAAGCTGGTCTATTAATTTTCATTATTTTCACTGAAGGTAAATTTTTAATGCGTTCTTATAATCCATTTCCTATTTTATGTTTTCCCCCTCCTACACTTGCCTCTTCCATTTGTGGCTTCGTTCTGTTAATGAGCTTACATTTTTCAGCCTCACTTCCATGGCTCTTCCCACCTCTGGCAGCCAACTGCTGTCAAACTGTACAGCACGTTCAAGTTTTCAATTAATTGCATTTAGCAAATGGGTTCTAGTTGGGGTCCATACCTCCCTCCCAACCCCCTTGACTACTTTTTCTTACTCTCTAAAATCTGTATATATTGTTCGCTGGAGGCAGAACCTAACAATTCGATTAAAAGTTGAATAATTAATCATTGAATTAAATAAGTTTTATCACTAACCATACAGCATATAGACAACCCATTTCATACAACGAAAATGGACGCAAAATCGGAAGGCCCAGCAGGCCAGAGCGGATTTCTTACGCTCCTTACGCTCATCGTTCGTTCATCTTACGCCATCCGCAATAAATGTTTCTGTTTCCAGTCCTAAACGGAGCGCGATGAAGAAGGTGGCCTGCGCTCGGTGATCTTGTATGTATGCGTGTCACACATTCACATACATGGGTGATGTGGCGTGCGATTTCGTTCAAGCCAGCGCACAAAATTTTGATTTTCTTACTTTTAAGGCTTCTACCCTAACAAAATTCGGGTATTCGTTATTTGATGAAATGACGAAAGAAATTATATTATTTTTATATTATATTTTTTATTATTTCAGCATACATTTTTAATTTATTTAGAATAAGATTAAGTGTTAGTAGTAAAATGTTTCTGTATATATATTTTTACGAATCATTAAAAATCAATATACTGAGAAAGTGTCAGAGTATATTTCGGTCGAGTCACAAAGCGCCGTTTGCTTTTAAGTTTTGTTGTTCTGCAAGAGGCTTGTGCATGCCTACTCTAACGATGGAATGATTTTTAGGGAGGGTGAAGACGGGTGAAGAATTAAATTACTTTTAAAGTTATTATATATAAGGAAATATATATAAGGAAATTATTAAATTAACGACAATAATTTAATTAAATCTCACAATAACCCAAAATAATAACAAGTGCCTGAAAAATTGTAAACAAAAAAGGTAAACAAGTCCATCAGCTGTTTTCGTGTCTTCACCCTCCCTAAAAATCATTCCATCGTTAGAGTAGGCATGCACAAGCCTCTTGCAGAACAACAAAAACTTAAAAGCAAACGGCGCTTTAAGTGACCCGACCGAAATATACTCTGACACTTTCCAGTATATTGATTTTTAATGATTCGTAAAAATATATATACAGAAAACATTTTACTACTAACACTTAATCTTATTCCTAAATAAATTAAAAATGTATGCTGAAATAATAAAAAATATAATATAAAAAAATATAATTTCTTTCGTCATTTCATCAAATAACGAATACCCGAATTTTGTTAGGGTAGCAAGCCTTAAAAGTAAGAAAATCAAAATTTTGTGCGCTGGCTTCGAAACGCACGCACACATACACCCATGTATGTGAATGTGTGACACGCATACATACAAAGATCAACCGAAGCGCAGGCCAACCTTCTTCATCGCGCTCCGTTTAGAGACTGAGAAACAGAAAACATTTATTGCGAGAATGAGCGTAAGATGAACGAACGATGAGCGTAAGAGAGCGTAAGAAACCGCTCTGGGCCCGCTGGGGCCTGTAGCAAGAAATTTTCGCGTCCATTTTCGTTGTATGAAATGGGTTGTCTATATGCTGTATGGTTAGTGGTTTTATGCACTTTGGGGGAAAATTTTTTTTTTTTTATTATCTAGTTATATTAGTTAACAAAACACTCTATGGTTTGGTTAAATAGATTTGGAAATTATGTATTTAGTTTGAAACAAAAAGTGTAACACCCCCTTTATGGCCGACGCCACTGACAGCGAGCCCACCCACACGCCCTGCAGTCTTCCAAATGAATGCAAAATGTTTTACTTTTAAACAGCATTATAATTCCACTTCCCCCCACGTACAGATATATATACATAGTGTATATAGTACCCTCCAACTTGCCACACCCCTCCCCCCTCTATACTGTTACCTTGCCGCACTTTCGAGTGCACAGACAGAAAAAGTTGTTGGGCAACTTTTTTCACGCCCCCACACACAAACACATGCCCCAGCCATACACAGCATTATACTTTATACTTTAAATACAGTTACGCCCTTCTGCCCGCTCTCCAATTACCCAGCTGGGTTACCCCCCTTACTGCCTACGCTCCTGCTCCTGCCAGTGCCCCTGCCCCTGCCCGGAGGTGTATTGTCTTTCGGCGCGGTAAACTTTTTAATAGTTTTCCTAGTTAAATGCCGCGGCGGTCAAGCCGGGTAATCAAATCAGAAATTTCTCTGCTACTCTCCTCGCAGTTTTTTTCTATTTTCCATTATTTGATTTACATTTTTTCCGCTAGCCAAGCTTTAAGTTCGACTGGCCAGCAAAAAGAATCGAGTTGAAAAGTCAACAACAATGAGAGAAATAATAATATTAACAGCCCAGGCAACAAACAAAGAGCCACAATGATAGAACCTGGCCCAAAACCGGAAGCGTTGCCCCAGACATCCATCAGAAAACGTTTATTATGACAAAGGCGTAGTGGCCAAGGGGGTGGGCAGGGCATCGGAAATAAGGGGAAAGGGTTCTAAAGAGAGGGAATGGGGTGGTGTACCTGTTATGCATGACAACGAGTTGCAGTGAAGGTGAGGAGGAGGGGACAGGCCATTGATTGCGTCACCAGATACTGTAACCCCAAAAATTCGACAATTCTCTGATTTGAATAGTTTTTGTTTTCAGACGGCCTATGGAGGTACCCCTTTTCCTAGTCATAGCTATTTCTAGTTCGCATAGCATTGCCGAGTTATATCCGATCGAGAAATGGTACATTATTCTTTAATCAGTACTCAACCTTATTACCTTATTTCCTCATTCCAAAAGTTGCTTAAAAGTGATTTTCAAATTTATCAAATTTTGTCAAGGGGTTCTGCTTGAATATATGTATGTATACTATCTTAAGATAATGTTAGCTTAATAATTATACCTTCTTATTTATAAAACAAAAAAGAAATAAATAAATACTTTATAAAAAGACCTAATAAAAATACACAATTTATAAAAATAAATAAAGGTTTTTATATATATTTTTATATATTATATATATTTTATATATTTTTATATATTATATATAAATATTATATATATATATTTATATTATATATATATTTTTAAATTAATAATATCTTTAAAAAAAAACCCTAAAACATACATAGTTCAATTTCAAAGAAAAACCCTTCCATCTCATGACCCCTACAGTTTGAGACTCTTCACAGTTTGATATTCACCAATGCAATTTCATAAAATTTTCATAGCATACTTTTTGGAGCAAAGAAAGTTTTCGACACTCACCTGGTACTTCTTGATGCTATCCAGTTGCTCCATTGTGGGCTCCACGATCTGGGCGATCTGCTGCTGCTGGCCGATGAGGACGCCGCCACTGCCACTGCCGCTGCTGGCATTGCCGGGCGCCCGCCGATCCGGCAGCTGGGGGGCGGGGGAGCAGTTGACCAGCCGCCCATCCTTCTCGACCCGCAAATGATCTCGAGGCGGTGGCACGGGCTTTGCATTTCCATTTAACTGATTTCAAGTGAAAATAAAAGTGAAAAAAAAAGGGAAATAAAAGATGGCTCCATTAGTTATGCAGGATAATGCGTATCCTTCCAGTGTATGTGTGTGTTTGTATGTAAGTGTGTGTCTTTAGAGTGAAGTGAAAATATGTGTGTGTGGGTGTAAGAGTATGGGTGTGGATAAGTGGTTGATGGAGGTGGTTCTTGTTGGTTTTCTTGTTGTTGGTCATTAAAGTTGAATGGATTTATTTGTTGGCAGAGTGTTCTTGTGCATTTTCCTCGGAATATGGAAGGTCTCTGAATATATATATATATTTTTTTTGTTTTTGTTCTTTTCTTTCCTAGTATATCTCGTTAAGTGAAAAGTGTACAAAGTGAAAACCTTTACCTCAACAAACAGGGGCGTCAGACAGGGGGTTCTAGTGACTAAAATAGGGGTTTTTTAAAGACTATTTTTGGTATGAAGTTAGGATGTTTTTTTGGGATGTTTTTCAAGGACTTTTGATTATAGGTTTTCTTAAAAAACAAAATATATAAATTATAGAAACCGTAATATTTTCCAAAAATTTAAAAAAAAAGAGGATTAATTTGAGGATGCTTTTTGAGGATTTTCCTGCCTTGCGGAAAAATAGTCATATAATAAATAAAAACAACCTAATAGACAACCCCCCTTAAGAACGCCACTGCTTTCTCTTACTTTTGGTGTCATTTACTGTCTTGGATTTAATTCGGTTCTCAAATAAATGCACTTACTCCTTGATTCATTTCATTCAGCGCATTGTCAGTAAAATCCCCCCTTTTTTTCGGCCGGTGACTGAGGACAGACCCCTTTTTTCCACCAGAAACCACCCGCCTCTGATAAAAGAATATGGAAAAAGGAGGAAGCGCTTATTTCGCTTTTGTTCCACAGCCATTGGAAAATTAATCGAGAGCAATTTCATATAAATGGCATTTATTTTTCATCGCCCGAACCGAGTCCATTGACAGTTGGGAGCAAGTGAGAGGGTTTCGCGATAGAAAGAGACCGCACCGTCAGAGTGAGAAAGGCTGATAAATAAACCGTAACAGCAGGAGGCCATACCAGCACCACCCACATGGGTGGCTGGGGCGGCACTCTACGTTGTTAGGATTATGCCGCTAACGAGGCCAACGCAACGAGGCTCTGAATCCGTGAATTAGGCCAACAGCCAGCCAGACCAAGGTGGCCGGGGGATGGGGATGGGGATGAGGATGGGCGGAGTGCCCGCCAAGGGTGCCTTTTGTCCACCTAATACGTAGGCGGTGGGGACTGCTGCATTAATTAGCCAAGCTTGTTCAGAATTTAACACAGTTGGAGCCGGTAACGCAGAATATATCGATCCATAATTCACGATACGATATGTATATTTTATAATTACATATTCCACAATTTCCGGTTAACGGTTTCCCCATCTACGGTTTCCGGTTTCCGTTTCTATGTGTGTTTTATTTGAAAATATTTCAATAAAACATAACAACTGTCTAAGTTTTGCTTTTAAATTGGAATTTACTTTCGTTTTTGTTGGAAAATTTAAAGAATTTTTTGTTTGCAAAACTATCACTGAGAAAAATTTAGTCTTAAAGTAGGGGCTCTAATATAGACCATTAAAATATTACTAATTTTAAACCTAAAATACCCTAAACATATTGCTAATTTTTTAGGGGAAAGTATTTTCCAACATTTTTAGAAAATATTTACCTGAAAATCATAAATTTTTAAATATTTTGTTTCAAAAAAAGAGAAGAAAAACACACACATACTTAAAAAATACTTAAAATACTAAAAATAATATTTCAGAAGAAAGTATCACTGATGACGGCAGTCTAAGAAGTTGACGAACCGCAAGCCAAAGTGACTGAAAATATTTTTAAGAAAAGAAAGAAGAACCAAAAATACACAGAGAGAAAACAAAAACACTGAGAGAAACATAGTTAGAAAAGAAACATCAAAAAGATCTCTAGAGAGAAACAATTTGTGACGAAAGTTCTACAAAAGTACAAGGTTTTGAGACGAAAGACATACGAAGTACGAAATTTTTTTTGTGGTATACCTCATCGCCAATGGCAGTTGCAACTTGTGATGTTGCTGCTGCTGGTGGTGTTGCTGTTGCTGTTGTTGGTGTGGTTGCCACACTGACCACGCCCAGCGAGGAGAGTGTGGTATGGGCGGTCGAACCGCTGGCATTCGATAGCAAGGATCCCCTGGACGAGAGATGAGCCGGTGGCGGATATCGGGGCGGTGTCTTGACCATTTCAATGAAACTATCCGGCACATCGACTGGCAACTCGCGATGCTTGGCAATTGGTGGCAGCAACACCACCGGCACCGGAACAGGTGCAACATGTTGTTGCTGTTCCTCGAGCTTTTGGCTCACCTCATAGCCGGGTGGGGCCAGACTCAGATCGTCGGGTACTGTGGAGCTACTGGTGCTGCTGCTGCTCACCATGTTGCTGCTTCTGCTGTTGTTGCTGCTGCTGCTGTTGCTTGTGTTGCTGGTGTGCATGGAGCTGTTGCTGCTATTTAACGAATTACTGTTGCTGTTTGTCACTGATTTCTTATTTTTTGGATTTAATTTCTGGTTGCTATCTGTGTTGCTGTTGGTGTTACTGTTGCTGCTGCTAGTGTTGCTGTTGCTGGTGTTGCTGTTGCTATTGCTGGTGTTGCTGTTGCCATTGCTCGTCGTCTGTTGCTGGTTCAGGTGACGGTAGGCGATGCTGCCAAAGGAGTCCAGGGTATGTTTGCTCAGGACCTCATCGAAATTGCTCGAAGTGGGTGAGTGATGATGTGAATGATGATGATGATATAATCCATCCAAATAGTCCTCCGTAATGCTGCTATTGTTGCTGCTACTGTTGGTATTAGACTTGGTGTTGCTGCTGGAATTTGTATTGCCATTGGGATCACTGCTCAGTGTTGATTGCAGCTTGTGGCATGGTGTTTGCTGTTGGGCTACTTGTGTTGCAACTCCACTTGCAACTTGCTGCTGCATCTTAAGGTTTTCCGATTCCGATTGTAGACAATTTTCATAGTTTTCGATTTGTTCCAATTTATTTTGTTGTTTTTGATTGTAAATATTTTGTGTTGCAACATCGAGTGCAATTGTTGTATTGGATGAGTGTTTTTGTTGTTGTTGTACATGATGTTGTTGTGGTGGTGGTTGTTGTTGTTGTTCATGTTGATGTGAAGAATGATATGCAACAATTAACAATTTGTTAGCATGATCATTGTTAGTCAAAGCAGTGATTTTTGTTGCATTGGTTGTGGTTCTTGTGTTCTTTGTGGTGTTGGTGCTTTTCTTGTATTTCTGTGTATGAGTGTGTGTGTGTGTTGTGTATGTGTATGTGTGTTGGTAATGTGTGTTTGTGCAAAAAGAAAAAGCCATGAAATGAATGATTTGAGTTGGTGAAGTGATTTCATTTTGGTTATTTGGTTAGTTCATTTTTTCAGGTTAGAGTTCGAAACTTGCTGGGATTTTTTTTTATAATTTTTTGTTGGGTTTTTTTTGGTTAACATTCGTTGGTTATCGTTGGGTTTTCGGCAGGAAACTAGATGTTATTTGTTGTACAGGTTCAGGGACATAAATTATTTGCAAGAAATACTAAGTTACAGGCTACCTTTGGGGCTTAGGAACTACTACTAGTTGGACTCTTAGTTAGGGCTGTTAGGTTACTTGTGCTTTTAGTGTCTGTTGTGATTGTTGTTTTGTGATGTAATTGTTGTTGGTTTTGTGGTGGTTATGTTCTAAAAAAAAATTAAAATTACAACTCACCTGTGGTGGACGGGGTGGCGGATATCTGGGCGGTGTCTTGTTACGTGCTATGAACGTGTCCGGACAATCAACGGCCATTTCACGGTGAGGACCTGTACGATAATACATAGGATAATGTATATAACCATTATCTTTTTTTGATGGAAAGTAGGGATGGTCTTACCGTTATCTTGGTTCACGGACAGCATGGTCAGCATTTCCTGATCAATCTCCCTGATGTCGCTGGAGTGGGTGCGATAGTGTTGCTGCTGTTGCAGTTGCTGTTGCAGCTGTTGTTGCTGATGTTGCTGCTGTTGTTGCTGGAGCTGTTGCTGTTGCTGCAGGTTGAGGTGATGCTGGCCGCTTATATAGTCATCCGGGAGGCATGGCTTCAGGTCATCGCCGTCTAGCACAACAATGCTAGAGCCGGAACGTCGGCGGTTCCTGGAAATATTTTATATTTTATTAGTTTTACGTCTTAAATATTCTAAAATAAACAAAAAATAAGCCTTTAAAGTGACCAGCTAAGTATTATTTTGTATTTCATTGTCTTTTGGTCACACTTTTATCCTTCTAGTGACAGCTTCTGTCAATTGCCGCCTTGGAGAACCACAAACAGCCTCAAAGGTAATGACTACAGTTTGACAGCCACTGGTTATAAATGACGAGGGCCAAGACACACTCGTTGGCTTCTATTTTATTTCAAAAAGTTATCCCTGTACCCCACTCTCCCCCTCCAGAAGGGAAAAGGATGAAGAAAAGGTATGAGAATTGGTTGGATTAGGTATTAGAGGTATTAGGCCAACTTGAAACTGGAGCGGCCTCAGCCAGAAGAAACTTTGGACCAACTTTGCACTTTTGGTTTTCTCTTTCATTATGCGAAGTTTTCGAAGGGCATCCCATCCATCCATCCATCCATCCATGCCTCGACCCCTCGTACCAGGTTTTTGGAGGCAATTTGCGCCTTAATTTGTTCGGCTTTTGGATTATGGGCTTAGGCCATGGCAGGTGGATGGGTGGCCCGGGTGATGGGTGGCCTACGTAGGCGTAGAAAGGTAGGTAGGCGTTGTGGGCCAAGTCGGTTGGCTAATTGCAAAAAGCTCAAAGTGGATTTTATGTCGAGGCCCGGGACCAGCCTAGAAGTATGCAATGTCCCACCAGAAGCCACCCAAAAAAAAGTAAAGAAAAAAATACAAAAAGGGGGGAGAGAATGGGTGGGAAAACCACCTCGACTTTCTGGGCCACTTTATCGCCTTTCATCGGGCGCTGATGCGACAAAAGCAATTTCAGCCGCAGCCTGGCAACGACGTCAAAGTGCAGCCTTAAAACCAGTAGTAGTAGTAGTAGTAGTAGTGCCACGCCTCCATCACCACACGCCCTCCATCTGTGCCACTGTTTGGGCCAAAGGGCCAGGAAGCAATCCTTCTCCAGGACTGCCAATCTCATTGGAGGAAGCCCTGACGAGCGTCAGCCAAGAGTGATGGACAGGACAGCGTGAATGCACTGAGAAAAATAAGTCTTATTTGTTTGAAGTTTAGATTTTTGGATAGGTATTCCTTGAAGGGAATATTATAGATTTTTTAGATATTTTTAAAAGGTCAAAGGTTATTAGAAAAATCCTCAAATCTTGAGCTATTCTTTTGGAAATTTCTCTACAAAGTCTGCATTACTTTGCTTCTTGGCCGAATCTCTTACTAATTCTTACCAACTTTTCTTTTTTTCTTTTCTCCACTTTGGCCATTAGAGGAATTCTCCGATTCTCTACCAGAGAAAGAGAGAGGAGAGACAGTGAGACAGACATTCGATGTCGGTGCAATGCATTAAAAACCGATTTCTGGAGAATGCAAGATGGCCAAGACGGTTCTAGGCCAAGAGAAGGAGATGGAGAAGAAGTAAAGAAGGAGGAGAATGGGTAATGAAGGGAGTGGGTAAATGTGGGAGCCCGAGAGAATGTGGAGCCAACACGAGACAACGGGCGAGACAATTCAATTTGCGTAACAGCAGACAAAGGGAGAAAAAATCGGAGAAGGAGAGCAAGGAGGATGAGGAGTTGGCCAAGAAGATGATGGGGGAGAGGAGGAGGCAGCGAGGGGTGGTGCAACGTGGAGTCAAGTTAACGGGCAGCGCAAATGAGTCGAGCGGAGAAGAAAAGCGCACCATAAACGAATTAAAATGCCTTTGGCTCTGACATCCAGAACCAACCAAGGCCAGTCTACGGGCTAAGACAAAAAAAAAAGTAAAAAAAAGAAGAGAAGCTCGTGCAACTGCCACAACAGCAGTAATAAGAGCTGCCAGAACAAGATACTCTATCTCCGAGATACTCCAAACGAAATAACTCGCCACAAAAGTATGCCAAACTATTTCCCAACTATTCCCCAACTCTTCTAGCCACAAATATCTGAAACTAAACTTTTAAGATAGATCCCAAAAATCCCTATAGAATGTCAAGACCCTTTTTGGTAAGAGTATCATATAATAATACAGATAGAGAGCCTTGAGGAAGTCAGGGGGAAACTGCAACAGCTGGTCAGTTGTGGACTATTTCTATTTTTGTCTTTATCCTCCAATCTGATGTCCTCTTCCATATAATAAAATATATATATATATATATATTGTATTCTTGCTTTTGACAGATGTTCGATTAGATGACGCCCAGGAAGGAGGATAAAAATAGTCAAGGCAGCCAAAGGATAGCTTCAGAGTAACAGAAACAATGCCAAATAACCAAATGATTACCTAACTAACCGAGTTACAATTAACTAAGCCAACTGGCTTGTCTTATCACTTAGCCCTGATATGATATCCCCATATATCCTATATATCCCTTATCCCCATTTCGATGACAATTAGCACAACTCATGCCCGGCAGCTATATGTCATCCATCCGATTGTCACACTGATGTGATGCTACGACTAATGACCGAACAAACTCTATTTGTGTATCTGTATCTGCATTCGCATTCTCATCTGTATCTGTATCTGTGTCATAACAAGCAGAACAATGTCTACCCTACTACACCCTAGACCCCTTTTCATCGCAACCCTTTCCTCTCCATCTGGGATCATCAATAACCCGTTTTGGGGCCAAGGGTCGCCCAGGGTGTCAAGTCAAAAGGACAACAATTGCCGGAGATGTCAAAGTGGGCAGCGATTTGAAACGGCGGAATGAAACGGAACGATTGGGAACAAGAGGAACAGGATCAACAAAGCTACACAGGAAAAAGGACATGCCTTAATAAAATAATAATTTAATAAAATAAATACATTTCTTTGAAAAAGTTTCCAACCTTAAACTTTTTATTTTTTGAAACTTTAACCTCATAAGCTTTCATTTTAAAACATTTTCTTTCAGTGCATTTAACAGCAGGTTCAAGGATGGCAATCATCCAGGATATAGGTAGTGCGAAAAGCAAAAAGGGAACCGGGGACAGGACTTCGATGAGAGGCGACAGATAAATGCAAACACACATGGGGGAAGCCATTAAATGTATTTTGCATTTCCAGCTGTCGGTTGACCGTGTTTGAATGTCTCCTCCCCTATCTCTTTCTCTTTCTCTGTCTGTGAATCTGTCTCTTTCTTTGTATATATGTAGATATATATCTTTTGTCATAGTTGCATGAACAACTGAATAGCTGCTTCTGCCCCAAAAGCGACACGACAGCCACATGCGACATGTTAATTGTTTACGGTCGGCCATCAAGCACGAGGCATGCTTTTTTTTTTGTCTGATAGTAGGGGTTAATATTATTAAGTTTTGAGGGTTAAAGTAGTGGAGATTTTTATGATAATTAGTGACAAACTTTTTATAGAAGTATTATAGAAGTATTATATAGTCAAGCAAATTTTAAAGCTAAGTAGTTAAGATTTTAAAGCATTTGTATCTGTTTCTATAAGTCTGGTTCTATAAACTGTACAATTCTTATAGAGTTCATAGTATGTTTATAAATATATATAGAATTTATGGTATTTTCCATAGTTTATAAAGTTTAAAACCGATTTATAACTAATAGTTCTTAAAAGTGATAGTCAAGGCAATTATTAAAATATTTTATTGAGATCCTAAAGCATTCGTATCTGGTTCTATAAGTCTGGTTTTATAAGTTCATCATAATGTTTATAGATACTAAGCTCTACAAGTACCGGGTATCAATACAATAAAGCCAATTATTAATTATTTAAGAGGCTAGAGATGCAGACTTTTATAAACCATATGTATTGTAGATACTACAAGTATTCACAGTAAAGATCAAGCAAGGTACTATAGTACCGGGTATCATACAGTAAAGGAAACTTTAGGTTGCTACTAAACAGGGCTGATAGAGTAATATACATACTGTTCAAATTATAGTTAAAATTATTAAAAATTAAAGTAATAAACTAACAATAGATACTACTAGTACTCATAAATAAAATAAAAAAAAAATCCACAAGCAAAAAAACTCTAAAAGTACAAGTACCAGGTATCATACACCCAAACTAACTCCACTTTCTCTACCAGATCCCTGCCAATATTCATAACCATTGCTGTTAGAGATGACCCTCAAAAAAACAAACCACAAAAAATAGCAACAGGTGAACCGGACGCCCTATGATTTCGGAAGTTTGTAGAAGTTCAGGGGTTCATGCTTCAGGGCATGCAACAAGTGGCAAGTGGTGCAGGTGCATCCCCGGGGAATTGAGCAATTGGGAATCATGAATCGTGAATCGAGAGCAGGGAGAATCCATATGGCAAAAATTAAAAAAAAAAAATACAAAAAACAGAAACAGAAAAAGAGGCGTGACCGGAAGAGGCTTATTTGCTGCAACGTCCGGCGCAACGGAAACGCAAGTGTAAGTGGCACCCATGAGTCATTTCCATGGCCGCAGGCTGCTCCATTTTCCATTTTCCATTACAGCCCTGACCTCCCTTCTCGACCAGCAATTGTGGGTGTTACCCTGGTCAGAATGGAGAATTTCAGAAGCAATTCAAAAACGAATCCGAGAGATAGTAATGGATTGTGGTTTTGCGCCTCAAGCAGCCCTCCTGTGGGGGCGGGGGAGAGGTGGAAAAGTGTTTGGATGGCCTCAAGAGGAGGGGGGCGGCCCAGTGTGGTTTTGGGTAAAATCAAAGGGAGGCGTGGCACTGCATCAGTGGCAGGTACTAGGTTGTTCAACCGGCTTCTAGCGAAGCTGGCTCACTAGGCTGGCATTCCATTTGAATTATTCATTGGCACATGGGAGTGGATATAGAGTATGGACTGTGGAGTATGGGAATTGAAGTGGAAGTGGCAATAGTAATTGGAGCCGGCTTAATTGCCGAGCCAAAGTAATATGCCATAACCAATAGCAATGCCAATATACAGAGCTCTGGTTGAGCTCTTGGGAAATTTGCAATCGCAATCCGCATCATCGATGCCGCTCAATTGCACCCCGAACGATAAAGTTTTTCCAGGAAAATAAATAA